ACCCTGACATCATGACTTGAGCTGAAGGCAGATGCTCAACTGACTGAGCCACCCAGGCGCCCCTCACTTATGAATTCTAACAAACATTTAAATGAAGAAACTATACCATTTTTCTCTAGTCCTTTTCAGAAGACAGAAATAGAGAAAATATTCCTAATTCATTCTATGAAGCCAGCATTACCCTAATCCAAAACCAGACAAAGACATTACAAGAAAATTACAGACTAGTATCTCTCATGGATACATACTAAAGTCCTCAACAAAATATTAGTAGATGGAATCCAACAATGTATAAAAAGAACTATATGCTACAACTGTGATAGCCTGTTCAGGCTGCCATAACAAAATACCGATCTTCCTCAACTTACCATGGGGTTGTCCCAGTAAACCCATTGTAAATTGAAAATATCATAAGTTAAAAATGCATTTAATACACATAACCTAGCAAACACCCTTGCTCAGCCTAGCCTGTGTTAAACATGCTCAGAACACTTACATTAGCCTACAGTTGGGCAAAATCATCTAACACAAAGCCTATTTTATGATAGTGTTGAATATTTTATGTAATTTATTGAATGGTTGTATGGGTACAAAATGGTTGTTAAGTGTATCAGTTGTCCTCCCTTATGACTGAGTGGCTGACTGGGAGCTGTGACTGACTGCCACTGACCGGCATCATGAGAGAGAGTATCATTCTACATACCACTACCCCAGGAAAACATTAAAATTCAAATTTCAGAGTGTGGTTTCTACTGAATGTCTAGCACTTTCACACCATCACAACGTTGAAAAATTGTAAGTTGAACCATCATTAAATCAGGGACCCTCCGAACCAGAGACTGGGTAGCCTCTAAACAATAAGCTTTATTTCCCACAGTTCTGGAGGCTAGGAAGTCCAAGACCAAGGCACATACAGAGTCAGTAGACATAAGGGCTTGATTTCTGGCTCATAGATGGTACCATCTCACTGTGTCCTCACATGGTAAAATGGACCAGCTAGCTCTCTGGGGTCTATTAAGGGCACTAATCCAATCACGAAGGCCCCACCCTCACGATCTAATCACCTCTTGAAGGCCCCATTTCCTAATACCATTGTCTTGGGGGTTAGGATTTCAACATATGAAATGGGGGGAAGGCTTGAATATTCATATAAAAACAACCATATGGGATTTATTTCAGGTATGCAAGGCTGGTTCAGCATTCGAAAATAATTAATCATCTACCACATCAACAGGCAAGATCATATCAATAGATGCAGAAAAAGCATTTGACAGAATCTAACACCCACTCATGATAAAATCTCTCAGTAAACTAAGAATAGAGAGAACTTCCTCAACCTGATGAGGAATATCTACAAAAACCCTACAGCTAATAGTGAGAAACTAGAAACTTTCTAAGATCATGAACTAGGCAAGGATGTCCCTTCTCATTAATGCTTTTCAACATCATACTGGAAGTCCTAGCTAATGCAATAACACCACAAAAGGAAATAAAAGGAAGAAATAAAACTATGTTCACAGCTGACATAATTGTCTCTGTAGAAAACCTGAAAAAAATGACCAAAAAACCAACCAACCCCTCCTGGGAACTAATAAATGATTACAGTAAGGTTGTAGGATATAAGATTAATATACAAAAGTCAATCACTTTCCAAAACCAGTAATGAAGAAGTGAAATTTGAAATTTAAAACACATCACCACTTATATTAGCACCCCCCCAAAATACTGAGGTACAACTCTTAAAATCTAACAAGATCTGTATGAGGAAACCTACAAAACTCTTATGAAAGATACCATAGAACAACTTAATAAATGGATAGTTCATATTCATTGATAAGAAGACTCAATATTGTCAAGATATCAGTCTATCCCAAAGTGATATATGGATTCAATGCAATGCCAATCAAAATCCCAGCAAATTATTTTGTGGCTATCAACAAATTGATTCTAAGGTTTTTTTAATTGAGAAATACTTGTACTTTTGATTTCAAAGTTTTTCATTTTAAGTAAGCTCTACATCCAATGTGGGGCTTGAACTCACAACCTCAAGGTCGAGTCACATGCTTCACCAGCTAAGCCAGCCAGGTGACCCTGATTCTAATGACTTATATGGAGAGGTAAAAGACCCAGAATAGCCAACTCAGTATTAAAGGAGAACAAAGTTGGAGGACTGACACTACCCGACTCCCAAGACTTACTATATAGCTGCAGTAACCAAGAAGTGTGATATTGGTGAAGGAATAAACAAATAGATCAGTAGAACAGAATAGAGAACCCAGAAATAGACCCACATAAATACAGTCAACTGATCTTTGACAAAGGAGAAGACAGTCTTTTCAACAAACAGTGCTGGGACTGGATATCCACACGCAAAAAAAAAAAAAAAAAAGAATCTAAACAAAGACTTTACTCCTTTCACAAAAATTAACTCAAAATGGATCACAGATCTAAATGCAAAATGCAAAACTGTAAAATTCCTAGAAAATGACAGGAGAAAACTTAGATGGCCTCGGGTATGGCAATGACTTTTTAGATAGGACACCAAAGGCACAATCCATGAAAGAAATGATTGCTAAGCTGGACTTCATTAAAATGAAAAACTTCAGGGCACCTGGCTGGCTTTGTCAGAAGAGCATGCAACTCTTGATCTCGGTCGGGGTTGTGAGTTCGAGCCCCACACTGGGTAGAGATTACTTAAAATAAATAAACTTAAGAAGATTTAAAAAAAAAAATGAAAAACTTCTGCTCTGCAAAAGGCAATGTCAAAAGAATAAGAAAACAAGTCCCAGACTGGGAGAAAATATTTGCTAAAGACATATGATAAAGGAGTGTTTTCCAAAATATACGAAGTACTCTTAAAATGCAACAGTAAGAAAACAACTTAATTTAAAACTGGGCCAAAAACCTTAACAGACACCTTACTAAAGAAGATACAGAGGCAAGTAAACATATGAAAAGATGTTCAACATTGCAAACTAAAAGGAGATACCACTACATACCTGTTAGAATGGCCAAAATCCACAACACCGACGATACCAAATACCCAAGAGGATGTGGAGCAACAGGAACACAAGTTCATTGCTGGGGGGAATGTACAGCCACTTTGGAAGACAGTTTGGCAGTTTCTTATAAAACTAAACCTACTACCATATATTTTCCTTTGCACAATTTGCCACTTTAGAAACTCAAAGTTCTTTTCTTTTGTATCATTTCTCCAAAAATCTATTGTTCTTTTGTTAAGATGTTACATAAGCTCAAGTTCTAACCACTCCTTGGAGGTACTCATGTCTTAATACTCCCATGTATATTTGTAATGCCACATGTTAGTAAACTTCAATTTCTTCTTCTCTTGTTAAGCTACCTTTTGTTAATCTAATTTACAGGACCCCAGGTGAAAACTTGATAGGTAGAGGGAAAAGACTTTTTTTCTTCTACTTAAGAGGTTTATTTAAGAGGCACTATATAAGAGGATTTGTTGAAATATTGGATTACTAGCAACAAACCATCTTAAAAATAATGTCTAAATAACTTCACTCAATCATTAATTAAAGACCCATGGCCTTGATTTACCTCCATACCATTTAATTTCAGAAATGGGCTTGGGGCGCCTGGGTGGCTCAGTTGCTTAAGCGACTGCCTTCGGCTCAGGTCATGATCCTGGAGTCCCGGGATCGAGTCCCGCATCAGGCTCCCTGCTCGGCAGGGAGTCTGCTTCGTCCTCTGACCCTATCCCCTCTCATGTGTTCTCTCTCTCTCAAATAAATAAAATCTTAAAAAAAAAAATTTTTAGAAAAAAAAAAGAAATGGGCTCAATTGGCTGCTGGACAACACACAAAATGGCCATCCAAAACTTCTGGGAGGTTCTACAACTTCAGTGCAATTAATGGGCAAGATCCATGGAAAGGGAACATGTGAATTCATTAAGGTATCAGGGGGATGTTGCAAGAGCAGGCTGCAGGAATCTAGGTGTGGCTATCTTTATTTCTGATAGGATACTGCAAATTGTTTGGTACTTCTTAGTAATAATGAGCACAAAGGGGCTGCAGATGACCTAATGCAACTCCCTCACTTATAGATGTGAAAACCAGGGTCCTGTGAAAATATTTTTTCCCAATATCCCAAAGCCTCTTAGTAAGCAAGTTCATATTTTAGTGATTAGAACCCAGAATTCCTGTCTCACCATATTTTCTTTTTATTTTCCCAAAGCTTTGAGACCATTTGGAAAATGCAAAGAGAGAAGCCTTTAATAACCTTCAGTAGAAAACGAGCCAGCTGGCAACACCTGACCAGGATCTTCACATAGCTAGGAATGACTGGCAGATGCAAAGGGAGTTGTGAGGCTGCCATCCCAAAGGCAATCCATCTGGGCTTCCTGGATGGGGAGGTAAGGTCTTCAGGTTCTATTCAAGGCTAATGTCCTGGGAGGTTTTTGTTGGATAGGGATTTTGTTAATTTTCCCATTTTCTGATCCTGTTTCCTCATTTGTAAAATAGACATTAAATGCTTCTAACATTACAATTCTAGGAAATGCCAGAATTAAGCACAGTAATATTGCAGAACGGAAGATAAGTAAAAGTATTATACTGAACAAGTATTTTTAACTGATTAAAGTGAAAGGAAAGGACTTTTTTTTAAACCTTAGCTGGGGTGCCAAACCAACAGATATCTTCCAGTTCTGAAGAACAGGAGTCTTGGTAGATGTGATTTCTTCTGAGGCCTGCTGGTCCTCACATGGTCATTCCTTTGTGTGTGCATCCCTGGTCTTTTATCTCCAAATTTCCTCTTCTTAGAAGGACCCCAGTCAGACTGGATTAGAACCCACCCTAAAAGCCTCATTTTAACTCAATCACTTCTTTCAACATGGGGGGGACTTGTGTGTGTGCGTGTGTGTGCATGTGTGTTAGGATTTCAACAAATGAGCTTGGGAGGTTTACAATTCAGCACTAAACAGCCATCTATTCTGATGTTCTCTTTTTACAACACTGTGACCAAGTGCATACTTCTGGGAAGAAATTATTTTATTATAAGATATTTTTACACATTTAAAAGAGGATACATATTGAATTACATTAGCGAAATTACATTAATAATAGGTAACTTATACCTGGAAAGCTAGTTAGAATGAAACACTGTTTTTGTTTCATTAGTCTTCACTATTTATTAGTTTATGTGATTTCTGCGAAAATGCATTATAGAAGATCTTCCTTAAAACAAGTATATGAAAATCTAAAATATCATTAATATTTCATTAGCATACAATCCCAAACTGAAAAATTTAAAACAGATTAATCTCCTTTTATATGGGAAGTGCTGAAAAGAGCTAACTTTACTGCTTGAACCTGATCATACCTTTCCCACAATGAATGAAATCTAGCTCTCAGAGGGCAACACTCAGAAAATTCCATAGGCAGACTGTCTTAGAATTCCACTTAATGAAGCTTATGTTTAATTAGCTAGCCGTTTTAATTACAATTTCAAGTCTTACAGATACAGAAATTGTTTTTTTCCAAAACAAATTTGCATATCCTTATAATACGAAAGGGAAGAAAACAAACAGATTTTAACTGTTGATCCCTTTTACTTTTTGAGCTCAGTGATTGACATTTTTTTTTCTTTTCCTTCATAACTTGGCATTCATCTGATTCATTAGCTTCTCCAATCTGATTGCTAGGGTCATGTTTCCTTTAATCTTCAATTTTCCTGACATGAATGCCATTGTTGGTTTTAGTTTCCCTAAAATGAGAAAATGAGGGAAGGAAAAGCATCCATTAGTGCCCTTAGGGAGGTACCACTTCAAGAACATGCATTATAAAAAGAATCTTCTTGAGTTCTATAAGCCTCTGAAGCACACAAATTTCTATTCCATAATTTTTTTTATCAGTATCTTGGGAATCCCAATTCCTTGACTTAGATATTAACAATATCTTACAATATGAGAGATAATGTAAAAACAATCAGCGAAAGATTATACCAAAAAGCTGAAGATGCAACATTTATATACTAGTTACAACGCATTAAAGGATACATGGCCCTCAGATGAATTGTAGTAAACAAATACTATTTTAGGTAATTTTCCAATCTATTATAGTTCATTAAACTTTTAACATTTCAGGTTTAGATTCAAAAAATCAAATGGTATAAATGCATATACTATTCTTAAGAAATTATCATTAAAAACATAGTGTACAGACAACAAAAGTATGTGCTAGCAGTATTTTAACCACAGAAATGCCAGGATGGAAAACATGAGCATTACAACAGAATTGTAGTTATTAACAACATAAAAGAAACAGAAGCTCCATGGAGGGAGGAAACTTTATTTGCTACTCTTATTCCAGTGTTAGTACAGGATCAGGCACACAGTGGAATTAATGAGGAAACAGAGGCTCAGAGAGGATTCTGACTCACTCAATGTCACACAGCTTGTATATGACACACTACAATTCAAAGCCAGGTGTTTCTGATTTTTTTTTTAAGATTTTATTTATTTGAGAGAGAGAGAACACACACATGTGAACAGGGGAAGGGGCAGTGGGTAAAGGAGAAGGAAAGAATCTCCAGCAAACTCTGTGCTAAGCACAGAGCCGGATGTGGGGCTCAATCCCATGACCCTGAGCAGAAATCAAGGCTCAGTTGTTAAGCATCTGCCTTCGGCTCAGGTTATGGTCCCAGGGTCCTGGTATCGAGCCCCGCATCGGGCTCCTTGCTCTGTGGGGAGCCTGCTTCTCCCTCTCCCGCTCCCCCTGCTTGTGTTCCCTCTCTCCCTGTGTTTCTTTCTGTCAAATAAATAAATAAAATCTTAAAAAAAAAAAAAAAAAGAGTTGGACACTTAACCGACTGAGCCACCCAGGTGCCCCTGACTCTTATTTATAGTTTTCTGAGCTATATGATGCCAATTCTGTAGATCATCTCTCCAGCAGGCACAATATGTGTCTGGTGCATCAGTAAACTTCTACTGAGCAACATGCAGATGGGCTCTTTGTAGAAAAAAAAAATGTGGAGGGTATTATGTTGAGTGAAATAAGTCAAACAGAGAAAGACATGTATCATATGATCTCACTGATATGAGGAATTCTTAATCGCAGGAATCAAACTGAGGGTTGTTGGAGTGGGGGGTGGGGTGGGAGGGATGGGGTGACTGGGTGATAGACACTGGGGAGGGTATGTGCTCTGGTAAGCGCTGTGAATTGTGCAAGACTGTTGAATCTCAGATCTGTACCTCTGAAACAAATAATGCAATCTATGTTAAGAAAAAAAAAAAAAGAAGAAGGTAGCGGGAGGGGAAGAATGAAGCGGGGGAAATCGGAGGGGTAGACAAACCATGAGAGACGATGGACTCTGAAAAACAAACAGGGTTCTAGAGGGGAGGGGGGTGGGAGGATGGGTTAGCCTGGTGGTGGGTATTGAGGAGGGCACATTCTGCATGGAGCACTGGGTGTTATGCACAAACAATGAATCATGGAACACTTCATCTAAAACTAATGATGTAATGTATGGGGATTAACATAAGAATAAAAAATAAATAAATTAATAAACAAAAAAAAGAAAAAAAAATTAGCAGACACCAAGATGCTCAAAAAAAAAAAATGTGTGGGTTAATGTATTTATATGTGTTGAGATATTAAATACCTTTAAATTCTTCTATGTAGGGGTTGTACAAAGTACTATAGATTGCTTAGGGACAGAAAGAATCAAGTCCAATTCTTTAATGAATAAATAGCTGCGCATTATTCTATGGAAATGTGATGTTAAAATACCTAAATTTACAAATAATAAACTAAGGGATAGTTTTGATTTACATAGAAGATACCGGAAAATCTTTGTTCTTTAAAGGAATAGAACAGGGCGCCTGGGTGGCTCAGCTAGTTAAGTGACTGCCTTCAGCTCAGGTCATGATTCTGGAGTCCCGGAATGGAGTCCCATAATGGGCTCCCTGCTCAGTGGGGAGTCTGCTTCTCCCTCTGACCCTCCTCCCTTTCATGTGCTTTCTCTCTCTCTCTCATTCTCTCTTAAATAAATAAATAAAATCTTAAAAAAAATAATAAAGGAACAGAACAGCTCCTCCAGAAACAAAAATACTGACATCTGGGTGCCCTTCTGCTGAAAAACTGGCTCCCTGTTCTGTCACCCTACAGTGAAACCCACCAGTCCATAAGCCTTGCTCACACATACACAGCTTCCACTAGCTTTATGGAGCCCTGCCTATAAAGACAAATGGACATCAAATGGAGACAAAAACAAAAAACAAAAACAGATAAAAGCCATTTGGCAGGCACTGAAGAAAGCTAAAACAAAGTAAACAAACAAAAAATTCCACAGTTCATGTCCGTATTGGTAAGAGAAGATACAGCAGCAATGTATCAAGAACAGAATGCTGGAGAAAGGGGAAGAAGAGAAGCACAGGAAAGAGGGAGAAATAGAGGAGACGACTTAAAGGGGTATGGGAGGAGAATGAGAGGAAGGGAAAGAAGCAGTAGAAGGCGAATGGAATGGGATCCAGTGAGTGGAAAGGGGGCAATAAGAGAAGAACAAACAGTGACCACAATGGTGAACTCCTAGAAATTAAAAATTTGAGAGATAATATTAAAAGGCAAGAGGCACTTGCAGATCTTCTGGTCACAGAAGTCAATCTTCTTCATTGCTACCATCCCCCCACTACTGCAAAAGTCTCTCTCCATGCACCCCCCCATAATACTCTTTACAAATAAAGTTTCTCCTTACTATATAAAAAAAAAGATAGTAAGTAGAAATAAGGTGAATCAATCTCCCCAAAAGTAAAAAAGTCATATAAAAACATGTGCAATAGGAGAAAGAGATGGTCAAAGATTGAATCAAAGATCGAATGTTTTCTCCAGAAAGTGAGAACTGAGAGAACTATCAAAGAAATAATATAAGATACATTCCCAAGGAGTCCATCAAGCACCCAGGAAAATGAAAGAATAAAGACCACACTACCTTGCATCATCATGAAATTTCAAACCACTATAGAGAAAGAGAGCATTTTGATTCCAAAGCTTCTGGAAAGAAGAGAGGGTAGACACAAAAGATTAAGAAAAACAATAGTATCAAATTCTCAATGGTAATCTTAGAAGATGGAGCAATGGCTTCATTATTTTGTTTTTAAGATTCTATTTATTTGTTTATTTGAGAGAGAGAGCATGTGAGCAGGGGAAGGGGCAGAGGGGGAGGCAGAGGGGAAGAAACTCCAGAAGACTCCACGCTGAGTGTGGAGACCAATGCAGGGCTCGATCCCACAACCCTGAAATCATGACCTGAGCCGAAATCAAGAGTCAGGCGCTTAACCGACTGAACGACCCAGGCGCCCCTTGGCTTCACAATTCTGAAGAAAAATGAGTTTCAACCCAGAAGGCTCTACCCAGCCAAGCAGTGTGCTGGCAGAATATAAGTAGTTTGAGATACTAAAAAAATACTATCTCTTATAAATCTCCTTTCTCATGGAGCTACTGGAGAATGTGTGCCGCCAAAAGAGGTTGTAAACCAAGAAAGAACACGGGACACAGGAAATAAAGAGATTCAGTGCAGGAGAGAGTTAAAAATTTCTAGGATCACAGTTGTGTAGCAGGCTTAATAAGCCTATCTATCTATTATAACAAGACAAAGGGCTCCAGGAAAAAAGCAGACCGACAGGTAATCTGACACGTTTGGCAGTGGAAAATTGTATCAAAAGGTTGTGGGAAGAGCATAGGAAGATTCTGCCTAGTTTCTTTATACCTATTTTAGTGGGGGGAAAAATAGGACAATTATTTATATCTAGGAAAAAGAAAAGTCCTCTGAGAGGAAACATAATAATAGTATACTATTTGACTCAGCAGCAAACTACACCAGAATCATAATTATTTAAACACAGAGTACTGATTTAGGCAAAAATGATAATATAATTATATTGGGGGGATAGGTAAGGGGGAGGTAAAGCAAAATCAAGGTGCTGTAAGAGAACTTAAATCTCACCTACCAGTCTTTAGATTAGTGAATCTAAACAAAACATTGCTTAAGTATACATCTAACATTGAGAAATGTGATCATATTGAAATAGGCGGAGTTACAGAATGAAAGAGACACCAGAAAGACCTGAAGGTGATCACCTCTGTGCAGTGGAAGCAGGAAAGGCCAAAGAACACCTTTTTTTTTTTTTTAAGATTTATTTATTTGACAGAGAGAGACAGAGCGAGAGAGGGAACACAAGCAGAGGGAGTGGGAGAGGGAGAAGCAGGCTTCCCGCCGAGCAGGGAGCCCGATGCGGGGCTCGATCCCAGGACCCTGGGACCATGACCTGAGCCGAAGGCAGATGCTTAACAACTGAGCCACCCAGGCGCCCCCAAAGAACACCTTTTAAAAATATATACTTTGGGGAACTTGGCTGGCTCAGTTGGTGGAGCGTGTAACTCTTGATCTTGGGGTCATGCGTTCAAACCCCATGTTGGGTATAGAGATTACTTTAAAAACTTTTTAATAAAATAAAAATAGGTACTTTAAAAACTGAGGTGAAATTCACATGACATAAAATTAACCATTTTAAAGTGAACAATTCAGTAGCATTTAAGTACAGTCACAAGGTCGTACAACCACCACCTCTATCTAGTCCCAAAACATTTCCATCCCCCCAAAAAGGAAACCCTGTACCCACTATGCACTAACAGTTCCCCTCCTTCTAGACCCTGGCAACCACCAATCAGCTTTCTGTCTCTATGAATTTACCTATTCTAGTGTTTCATATGAAAGGATTCATACAATATGTGATCTTTTGTCAGGCTTTTATCGCTTATTAAGTTTTCAAGGTTCATCCACATCGTATGATGAATCAGTACTTCATTTCTTTTTATGGCTGAATAATATTTCATTATACACACAGACACACACAAATAATTTGTTTATTGATTCATCTGTTGATGACCACCTGGGTTGTTTCCAACTTTTGGCTACCGTGAATAGTGCTGCTATGAATATATATATATATATATATATATTTGAGAATTTTCTTTTGAATATGGGAGTGGAAATGCTGGGTCATGTGGTAATTCTAAATTAACTTTACCTATATATTTTATGGGTTTAACAAACCCAAACATCTATGGTCAACTGATCTTTAACAAGGTTGCCAAGACCATTCAATGGGAAAAGAATAATCTATTTAACAAATGGTGCTGGGATAACTGGATATCCACATGCAAACAAATGAAGTTGGGCTTCTACTTCACACCATATATATATATATTAGCTCAAAATGGGTCAGAGACCCAACTATGAGAGTTAAATCTAAAAACCCTCAAAAAAGGGGCGCCAGGCTGGCTCAGTCAGAAGAGTATGCAACTCCTGATCTCGGGGTTGTAAGTTTGAGTTCCATGTTGGGTGTAGAGATTATTTTAAAAAATAAAATCTTGGGGCGCCTGGGTGGCTCAGTCATTAAGCATCTGCCTTCAGCTCAGGCCATGATCCCAGGGTCCTGGGATCGAGCCCTGCATTGGGCTCCCTGCTCTGCAGGAAGCCTGCTTCTCCTTCTCCCACTCCCCCTGCTGTGTTCCCTCTCTCGCTGCCTCTCTCTGTCAAATAAATTAAAAAAAAAAAACAAACTAAAAATAATAAATAAATAAAAATAAAATCTTAAAAAAATAAAAAGGGGTACCTGGGTGGTGCAGTCAATTAAATGTCAGACTCATGGTTTTGGCTCAGGTCGTGACCTTGGGGTTGTGAGACTGAGTCCCACGTTGGGTTCACGCTCAGCACGGACCTGCTTGAGTTTCTCTCTCCCTCTCCCTCTGCCCCTCCCCGCTTTGTTCTCTAAAATAAATAAATAAATCTTTAAAAAAATAAAAATACAAACCCTCTCGGGTGCCTGGATGGTTCAGTTGGTTAAGTATCTGACTCTTAATTTTCAGTCAGGTCATGATCTCAGGGTTGTAAGATCGAATCCCATGTTGGGCTCTGTGCTGGGTGTGGGTTCTGCTTAAGATTCTCTCTCAGGGCCCCTGGATGGCTCAGTTGGTTAAGCGGCTGCCTTCGGCTCAGGTCATGATCTTGGGTCCTGTGATCAAGGCCTACCTTGGGCTCCCTGCTAGGGGAGTCTGCTTCTCCCTCTGCCCCTCTTCCCCACTCATGCTCTCTCTCAAATAAATAAATAACATCTTAAAAAAAAAAATTCTCTCTCTTCCTCTCCCTCTGCCCCCTCAACTCTCTCTCTTTCAAAAAAAAAAAAAAACCCTCAAAAAAAAGTGAATCACAAATCTTTAAAACTTAGGTTTCACAAAAATTCTTAGATATGACCATGAAAAAGCACAAGCAACAAAGGAAAAAAAACTACAAATTGGACTTCATCAAATTCTAAAACTTTTGTGTTTCAAACTATATCATCAAAAAAGTGAAAAGATAACCCAAAAAACTGAGAAAACATATCTGCAAATAATACACTTCATAAAGGATATCCACTTTGTATCTGGAATATATAAAGAATTCTTAAAACTCAGTAAAAAAAAAGACAACCCAATTAAAATGTGCAAAGGACCCAAACAGATATTTCTTCAAGGAAGATGTACATGTAACCAACAAGCACATGAAAAAATGCTGAACACATCATTAGTCATTAGGAAAATGCAAATCAAAACCACAATGCGGTATCACTTCACACCCACTAGGATGGCTATTAAAACAAAAACAAAAATAAGGAGTGCTGGTAAGGCAAGAATACAAAGAAATAGAGACCTTCATACACTGCTAGTAGGAATGTCAATGGTATAGCTGCCGTGGAAAAATCTAGCAGTTCTTCAAAGAGTTAAACAGAGATTTACCACATGAGCCAGCATTGCAAAAGAAATGAAAACATGAGCCCACTATTCTGTTCATATCAAAGTCCAGAAAAGGGAAATCTATAGAGACAAAAAGTAGATCAATGGTTGCTTAGAGCTGAAGGCAGGCTGATGGGAGATATGGGGTTAACAGCTAACGGGTATGGGGTTTCTTTGTGAGGTGATGAAAACGTTCTAAAAGCAACTGTGGTGCTGGTTGCAAATATCTGTGAATAGGCTAAGAACTATTTAACTGTACACTTTAAATGGATGAATTGTATGGTATGTGAATTATTCCTCAATAAAGCTGTTAAAAAAATAAAAGCTACTGTTACATATAACAATAAATTGAATTAATTAAAATTTTCCCACAAAAAAATCCCAGGTCCAAACGGCTTCACTGATTTTTCGCAGGATATAAAATCAATACAAAAAAATTAACTGTATTTATGTATACTAGGAACAGATAATTCAAAAATAAAATTAAAGACAATAATTCCATTCACAATAGCATAAAGAATGAAATACTTCGGGGAAAAAGCATGAACCATAAAAGAAAGAATTGATGGATTAGCCTTTATCAATTCTAAAAAACTTTTGTAACTCAAAAGACATCAAGAAAATGAAAAGATAAGTCACACAGACTGAGAGAAAATATTTGCAAATCACATGCATCTAGAATTTATAAAGAATTTTGCAATTTAATAATAAAAAGACAAGTCAATTTATTTATTTATTTTTTTTTTTTTAAGATTTTATTTATTTATTTGAGAGAGAGAATGAGATAGAGAGCATGAGAGGGGGGAGGGTCAGAGAGAGAGGCAGACTCCCCGCTGAGCAGGGAGCCCGACGTGGGACTCGATCCAGGGACTCGATCCAGGGACTCCAGGATCATGACCTGAGCCGAAGGCAGTCGCTTAACCAACTGAGCCACCCAGGCGCCCCCAAGACAAGTCAATTTAAAGATGAGCAAAAGTTTTGAACAGTTCATCAATGTAAATAGCTATTAAGCACATGGAAAGATGCTCAACATTAAGGAAATACAAAGTCACAATAAGATATCACCACACACTCACCGGAATGGCTATAATATCAAAGACACTAATGTTTGTGACAACATGGATGAACCTAGACCCAGAAAGACAAATACTGCATGATCTCACTTTTAGTGGAATCCAGGAGCAGAGAGTAAAATGGTGGTTGCCAGGAGTTGGGAGTGAGAGAAATGGGGAGATGTTGGTCAAAGGGTACAAACTTTCAGCTATAAGATGAATAATTCCTGGGGATCTAATGTACAGCATTATGACTATAGTTAATAATACTGTATTGCATATTTGAAATTTGCTAAGAGTAGATCTTAAAATGTAGGATGATGAATGTGTTAATTAGCTTGATTATAGTTATTTAACAATGTATTTATATGTATCCAGTCATTCTGTTTTATACCTTAAATATATATAGTTTTTGTCAAGTATACCTCAATAAAGCTGTAAAAAAAAAAACAACATTAATAAGTTTCGGTGAGAATTTGGAGAAACTGGAACCTTCATACATTACTAATGAGAAGGTAAAATTAGTACAGCCACTTTAGCAAATGGTTTGGCAGTTTCTCAAAAGTTTTCTACTTACCATATGACCCAGCAATTCCACTCTTAGGAATCTATCTAAGAGAAATGAAAATATACATCCACCCAAATACATGTATGACCATACGCAGAGCAGCATTATTCATAATAGCCCAAAACTTAAAATAATCCAAATGTCCACCATCTGGTGAGTGGATAAATAATATGTAGTATATCCATACAGTCGAATACTATTCAGCAATAAAAAGGAACTGAACTACTGATACATGCTACAACATGAATGGATGAATCTCAAAAGCCTTATGGTAAGTGATGCCAGATACAAAAGACTATATACTGTTTGATTGCATTTACATCAACTATTCAGAAATCTATAGAGACAAAAAGCAAATCAGTGTTTGGCTAGCTGAGGGTAAAAATGGGGAATGATTACAATGAGACATGAGAGAATTTTCTGGCGTGATGGAAATTTCTCAAACTGGATTGTAAGTGATGGGTGTACAACTCTATAAATCTACTAAAAATCATGTTTAACCCTTATACTGGGTGGATTTTATGATATGTAAACTATCCCTCAATAAAACTGTTTAAAAAATAACTTTAAAATAGCTAGTAAGCACAATATCCTATCTCCTCCCTATATATTAAACAGGTGATCTTGTACAATTTATTTCCTTTCTATTCTAATGCTCAACCCTACAGTGGCCTCTACTGGCCAAAAGGAGATTTTGATTAGATGATCACTAGTTGCTTCAAGTTTTTCTATTTATAAAATATCCACTATATAAATTAGGTCAGAAATGGCTATGGTTTCTTAAAAGAGAAACCATACCAGGATATAAGGTCTAAATTGTGCCCCTTCAAAGGAAAGCAGATGGGATCAAGAGTAGGAACAAAAGGACATAAGAAGCAGAAGTAAACTCACTGTCGCTATAAGAAACCAGGTAAGAATATTTTTTTAAGTTACTCATTTATCTGACTGACTTCCCCTAGTCAATCCAGGAGCACATTCACAGAAAGATATAAATGGAAAGCCCATTACTACAGGTTAATGATACATAAATAAAATATAAATTAGTCATTTGACTCTCACCTTTGGAGGGCAGAGTAGCATAATGATTAAAAGAGCATGAGCCCAAGAGTTAGCTTGGATTCAAATTTTGGCTTCAACATTTCTTCACTATGTGACCTTGATTAATCCATTGGTGTCTCAGTTTCCATTTTTGTAAAATGGAGAAAATATTTTATCTCCAAGCACTGTTTGGAGTATTGTTGTTTTGTTTTGTTTTAAGATTTTATTTATTTATTTGACAGAGGCACAGCAAGAGAGGGAACACAAGCAGGGGGAGTGGGAGAGGGAGAAGCAGGCTCCCCGCTAAGCAGGGAGCCCAATGTGAGGCTTGATCCCCGGACCCTGGGATCATGACCTGAGCCGAAGGCAGACACTTAACAACTCCACCCCTGGAGTACTGCTCAACTCATAGCAATCATACAATGCATATTAGCTATAATTATTGTTATTTCAGTTTAGAAATTGACAATTTTTATTTTAAATGATCTTTAAGTCCAAAATATTATTTATAAAATATAAATTTGCCAACATTTACTGAGCATCTAGCTATGTCCAAAGCACTTTAAGTTTTATGAGGACATAGTTGTTGGAATACTAAAACACTAAAGACACTACTGAAAATGACTAAAGAGATAATTATTAACATTGAAAGATGTTATAATGTATAAGTGAAAAAGACTGCCAAACAGCAGTAATGCTATAATCCTGTTTTTATAAGCACACGTGTATATTTATATACATTCACAGAAATATATGACTCTAAACCAAAATCAACTAATGGTTGATTTCTCAGTAGTGTGATAAAGAAGTATCTTTATTTTGCTTAGGGGTACTTGGGTGGCTCAGTCAGGTAGGCGGCTGACTCTTGATTTTAGCTCAGGTCATGATCTCAGGGTCCTGGGATTGAGCCCCGTGTCAGGCTCCACACTCAGTGGGGAGTCTGCTTGAGATTCTCTCTCCCTCTCCCTGTGCCCCTCCCCCTGTTCATGCACTCTCTCTCTCTCTCTAAAATAAATAAATCTTGGGGTGCCTGGGTGGCTCAGTTGGTTAAGCGGCTGCCTTTGGCTCAGGTCACGATCCCAGGATCCTGGGATGGAGTCCCACATTGGGCTCCTTGCTCAGCGGGGAGTCTGCTTCTCCCTCTCCCTCTGCCCCTCTCCCCTACCCATGCTCTCTCTCTCTAATAAATAAATAAATAAATAAAATCTTAAAAAATAAATAAATAGGGGCACCTGGGTGGCTCAGTCGTTAAGCGTCTGCTTTTGGCTCAGGTCATGATTCCAGGGTCCTGGGATTGAGCCCTGCATCGGGCTCCCTGCTCAGTGGGAAGCTGCTTCTACCTCTCCCACTCCCCCTGCTTGTGTTCCCTCTCTCGCTGTGTCTCTCTCTGTCAAATGAATAAATAAAATCTTAAAAAAATAAATAAAAATAAATATTTAAAAAAAAGAAGTATTGGGGCGCCTGGGTGGCTCAGTCGTTAAGCATCTGCCTTCGGCTCAGGTCATGGTCCCAGGGTCCTGGGATTGAGCCCCGCATCGGGCTCCCTGCTCTGCGGGAAGCCTGCTTCTCCCTCTCCCACTCCCCCTGCTTGTATCTCCTCTCTCGCTGTGTCTCTCTCTGTCAAATAAATAAATAAAATCTTTAAAATAAATAAATAAATAAAATAAATTAAAAAAAGAAGTACCTTTATTTTGCTTTTTTTTAAGTGTATTTTCTGATTTTGTACCATGAGTTATTTAATACTACTGTACAAAAAAAAAAAAAGGTCGGGCGCTTGGGGGCTCAATCAGTTAAGTGTCTGACTCTTGGTTTTAGCTCAGGTCATGATCTCATGGGTTGTGAAACTGAGCTCTGCACTGGGCTCTGCGCTCAGCGGGGAGTCTGCTTGAAGATTCTCTCCTTCTGCTCCCACCCCCATTCTCGCACTCTAAAATAAATAAATCTTTAAAAAAAAAAAAAAAGGAAAAGTTGAAGAGACCTCAATGATTAGTAACATACACAGACTGGCTCAGATAATATGTAGGCCATTAGCATCCTGGATTAGAACTGGAAAGCAATGGGGGCCTGGGTGGCTCAGTGGGTTGGGCGTCTGCCTTCGGCTCAGGTCAGGATCCTGTGGTCCTGGGATCGAGTCCCGCATCCAGCTCCCTGCTCAGCGGGGAGTCTGCTTGTCCCTCTGCCCCTCCTCCCCGCTCATGCATGCTCTCTCTCAAAAATAAATGAATAAAATCTCAAAAAAAAAAAAAGGAACTGGAAAGCAAGATCTAGATGGCACAGAGTACACTGTGATCTTCAATTTATGAAGATTAAAGCAGAACAAAGAATGAATTACATTTATAGATCACTAAGTGAATTTTTTTTATTAGAATGTTATAATGTCTTAGTTTAAAGTGTTGTTTCTAATAAATACATGTGATAATTACCATTTGAGTAGTATTCTAAGAGTAGAAAATAGAAAAGATTCCCTTAAAATTCTCTGGCATAGTTAGAGGTACACAGGCAGAACAGAAAACTATGCAAAAGGTTCTCTTGGTTAAGGATTTCACAGAAAGCAGGATCATGGGGCCACAGGAGAGGGCCCCTGTTTCCTATTACAGTCATGGCAAGATCAAAGCAGAACCTTACTCTCAATAAATGAGGTGCAGCTGAGTTCAGCACTTCCTGTGTCCCAGGTGTTATTGGAAGGGCTATCTTAGTCCAACTAGTAGAAATAAAGTCCACCTAGGAGTCCTTTTGAATTACCTCTCTATTTCCAAGATTATCTTATGGGCTTCTCAGTCACGAAAAAAGGAAATTCTGACTTCGACTTCCCACTTGTTGGCTGAACAGTCAGAACTTACCAAACAGTAAGACCCACCTTCTGAAGACTTTGTGCTCTTTAACATCAATAGCCACTCAGATTCTACGGCTACAAACACAAGTCTTGATTATTTGGAGAGGAATGAAGTTAGAAGTAAATTTTCCTTGAATAATCAGTCAATTAATAAAATTGAAAACTCACCTGAAAACATTTTTACAAAATCATCAGTAGACATACTCATCACCACATCTGCCTGATCAGAGGGCTCTCCATATCCAACATTCCCACCTTTGCTTTTAAGATCAAGAAACCACGTTCCACCATCTTCACCTACACAAAATACAAAGATATAGAAAAAAATGCCAAAGAAGCCCCATTCTTCTTAAACTTAGTAACTGCTACAGTTAGAATAATTTTACATAATGCTGTTTTCCAGGTTAAAACCCTTGGGCCTCTATTAAATTCAGTAAATATTGATTAAGTACTTCCATGCCAGGCACTGGTCTAGGCTCTGAAGACCCTGGAGTAACATGGTTCTTACACAAGATGAAGTAGAGGGTAATGTGAAGTCAGGCAAGCCCCATGGAAGATGAGATTGAAAAGTCAGGTAAGAATTAGCCAGATGAGGAACTGAAAACAGTGCAGGAGGACTGAAGGTAGAAAGAGAATGAAGAGTGGCATGAGATGAGCTCATGAAGCAGCCCAGACGTAGGGGGTAGTGGGCCATCTGAAAGATTCACTGACTTCATCCTAAGGGATATGCCATGGAAGGAGAATGACATAAGGCTGGTATTTTAAATAGATCACCCTAAGAGCAGTGTGGAGAATATATTGGAGAGGGATAAAGAGGATGCAAAAGGCAAGTTAGGATGGTGTTTGGGTAGTTTGGGAACTTGAGGATGTGTGCCTGGATCAGGATTGTGGCGGTGGGATTGGGGAGAAGTAGGCATATTTGAGAGGTAACTTCAAAGCAGAAACACAAGACTCAGTAAATGAATATGATGAGGAAAAGGGACGGAGAGTGCATAAGAAATGATTTGCCAGTTTTTGGCTCAGGAAACCAGGTCAGTATGGCTGTATTTTGTCCTGAGAGAGGACTACTGAGAAGAGCAGATTGAATAGGCAGTGTCTGAGCCAGGTGTTGGGAATGGTGAGCTGTTTTAGACATTTTCAGATGGAGGCATCTTTGTGACAACCAAGTGAAAATGTCAAATGACGTCTGACGAGGCTAGAAATATAGATATGTAAGTAATCACTGCCTATGGTCACTGAAGCTGTGTGAGTGACTGAGGTTTCCTAGGGCAAGTCTGTAACTGACAAGGATGATTACAGACAAAGGAGGAAAGCAAGGAGAGCTGCTGCCAGGGAAGCCAAGGGCGGGAGCCTTTCCAGAAGGCAAGAGCAGTCAACAACTTCAAATGCCGTAGAGTGGTGACAAGGTAAGAATGACAAAGGCCCACTGATGATAAAGAGGTCACCCAGGACCTTGGTAATAGCATAATTCAGCGGAATGGAGAAATGCGATACCTGAGTAGAGTGAACTCTAGATGAAAAGAAGTTTGGCTCTGAAAGGGAGAGGAATGGTGGGGGTAAGAAGTGGGGTTGGGGGCGTTGTGTTTTGTTTTAAAGATGAAATAGACTTTGAGAATGTTAAATTATCACCAGAAAGCAGGCTGCAGCATACGCAGGTGAGAGAGAAGGCATAATTAACAGCACAAAGTCCCTTAGGAGGCCACAGGAAATGGGATCTACAACTTTGCTACTCAAAGTGCAATCTGTGGACTGCAGCCCTGTCAGAAATGCAGAATTCAGACCCTACCTGAGACATGCTGAATCAGACTCTGCATTTTAGCAGGGTCCCAGATGATCACTATGAACATTAAAGCTTGAGATGCATAAATCTAGAGCTGAGCTCTATTCTATTGGGAAGGAAGAAAGAACGATGCTCATTAACAGCTGATTCGGTATCAGAGGACAGGAAGCTGAAGCACTTTGTCTGCCAGTTTCTATTATCTCTGTGAAAGAGGAGGTGGGGTTATCTGCTGAAACTGGCAGGGAAGTGGTGAAGGGAGAGATGGGACATTTGTGGAGCACTGGGAAGTGTTAAAATAGTCACTGTGGAAAATGAGGCAGGAAGCTGACCACAGAAATACAGAATTCTGAGGCACACTGAGACCCCAGATGAAGAAGGGCGATGATGAATGTCTACTCATACAGATCTACTGGTAGCGTGATGGGTTTTTTCCATTTCCCCAGGAGTACGGAGCAGCCTGGATGCAACTGTGGGACAGTCAGATAGTGTGATTCATCCGGGACTAGGCTTTTTTTTTTTTAAAGATTTTTTATTTATTTATTTGAGAGAGAGAGAGCTCATGAGAGGGGGGGAGGGTCAGAGGGAGAAGCAGACTCCCCGTTGAGCAGGGAGCCCAATGTGGGACTCGATCCCGGGACTCCAGGATCATGACCTGAGCCGAAGGCAGTCGTTTAACCAACTGAGCCACCCAGGCGTCCCAGGACTAGACTTTTGATAGGTGGTGACATAAGTACAAAAAGGCCAGGAAATTTAGGATACAGGCAAGAGAATGATTAAAGCAATGGACCATGGGCGCTAAGGAGAAAAAAGGAAGAAGAGAGGAAACAGAGGAGACAAAGGAAAAAACCGATAATGTCAAAGTTTGCATTCAATGGGACTGAAGTAGCTAGTTCTTAAAGCTATCATTAATATGTGTTAATACTATGTTGAGAAGAAAAATATTGATAAGTTTGAAAACGCTGACTACATGCAGACTGACTTGAATAATTTCAGCTGACTACATGCAGACTGACTTGATTAATTTCAAAGATAAAAATGGCAAGGTGCCGTGGCTGATGATACATTACTGTATTACACCATATGTCATGATCCATATGCCCTCCTAAGTAGGATTTTCTCTCAACTACATATGCCAAAAATTTATTTAACACTGGAAGTCTATGTAATGAGATTTTATGTTACATGTGTCCATATGCACTGATATTAACTTAAAAAATATAAATCAGTAGTTATTTGCTATTCTTGAATGTCTACATTCTAGGGTTAAGGGTTCTGGATACAGCCAACTATCAAGGTGATTGCTATTGGAAGCTGATTTTCTTCTGAGGGAAATATCCTACTTTATTTCATAAAAGCACCACGTTCCCAGATATCCTCCTTACCTGAGAGCTCAAACTGATAAATCGCTTGAGTGGCTTTAACAACGTCATCATTGAGAGAGTCCTTAACAATTCTAAATGTTTCTGCCACGGCTCCAGAACGTGGTTTTGGTGGTGGCTGTGACTTCTCTTCTTTCAATTCCGGAACAGCATCTGTAAAATATTATTGATATAAATGGTTTGAAAGCCTGGGCAGTATAAGGCCACACACAGAATTAATTAATTAGCAGAAAAGACTTGCCACCAACTAGACTTGTTTGACAAAAATGACTTTAAATACATTTGGTGACATCAAAAGGCATAAATCAAATTGATGGAATAACATCCAAACGCATTAGTTATGATTACAAATGTAAATGGTTTATACTCTCCAAGTAAAAGGCTGACTCTCAGATTAGGTTAAAAAAAATCCAAACCACTACTAAACTGTAGTGGCTTTTTTGTTTGTTTTTTTAAAACAGACCTAAACACACTTTTAGGAGTAATAATTAATCACTCCTTTATTACCCCCTCCGAGTTCTAAAACCAAATGAGAAAAGAGACACTGGAGATCAGAACATCAACCATGTAAATCAATAAAGCTGAATTGGAGATTGTAGCTTGAATCAACAATCAAGTGAACTTCCTGATAACTTTGCCTCTAAACTAAACTTAGTTCCTTCATCCCTGGATTGAACCTGCTTCCTCCCATCAGGGCTTAGAAATGCCTTTGAAAGTAAAGATCATGTGAAGAACAGGGAAAACCTGCTCAGAAAGAAAGAACCTTCACAACAGTCTAAACCACACAGTCATTTCCTCTTCCAATTTCATCAGCCTCATGGTTCCTCCCACTGGATGAAGAGGGAGGTGAGACTATCAGCCTCACGAAAGCCCCCCCTGCCAAGAAACACAAGGCCAGGGGAATTACAGTATTTTTCAACTTGTATCCACTTAACCCACTAGCCATAACCATTCAGCACATAATGTGCCAGGGGATCTGCAGTCCATAGGACAATTCCCATAGCATGAAGCTGTCCCTCAATACCAACCTCTGTTCCTTTATTCATCCTCTGGGAACCACTTGTGGGTAGTTTGGCAGTTGCCCCAGAAACAAGTTGAGAACAATTCATTAATTAAATTAACTCCAAGGCCAATCTGTGCCCTAGGCTGAAATTTAACTCTCCATCTACTTCCCAACTCAACTTATACCCAGCCATACTGTCCAATATAACTCACCAAAGGTTATTAAATGAAATCTAACTGATAGCATAAAGATACTCCATGGTACAACAGAAGCAATATAAAAGTATCCCAAATTTGCTGGATATAAATTACTTTTCACTATGATGATTCCAGAGACAGACAAAAACAATAAAATCCTTCTCTTCTTACAAGTTAAAATCCAAACAGATATTAACGATGAAATCCTCAAGATCCAATGGAGCAAAGAAGATACACACTTTTTAAAAAACCTGGAGTCAATTTGTTATTATTTTTAAATTCATTACAGATAGTGCACCCCTTTACTGCCTACACCCAGAGCAAACAACCCTGACTGCCTTGCCCTTGGCATGGTGCTGCTTTTTATTGATGGGCAACATGTATGAACCATGACCATAAGTATACAGCTCAGAAAGTTCTCAGAGGAATTGGGGGATGGGCAGAAAGGGTCAAGGGGAGTGAAAGGTACAGGCTTTTCAGTTACGGAATGAGTAAGTCACAGGAATAAAAGGTGCAACATAGGGAATACAGTCGATGGTATTGTAATAACGCTGTATGGTGACATATGGTGGCTACACTTGTGCTGAGCACAGCATAACGTATAGAGTTGTCCAATCACTATGTTGTACACCTGAAACTAATGTAATACTCTGTGTCAACTATACTTCAATAAATTTTTAAGAAGTTATCAGTAAGTGACTATACTGTGTCATCATCACCTAGGTCAAGGAAGAGGACATAACAAGTCCCCCAGAAGCCTGTGGTGTCAAAGAGATCACAGCAAAATCTTTAAAGTTTTTTATGTAAATTGCATAATTTATCACCTGGAATATTTAGACATGGCCTGATGACTCTTCACAAGAGAATAAAACTGCAGGAGACAAAAAACAAATCAGTAGTATATTTGAAAGGTACTGTCATTAGACTACAAATATGTAAGCTTTACTGAGAAAGAACATTTCAGTAACAACAACAAGAAAAGATACATGGCCAGCAGCCCCTGTCATAGCCTCTCCTAACTTCACACTTAAATAAATATAAACATGTGAACAAATACTAAACATCACCTAGACTCACAATCTACGGTCAGAATCTAGGAAGAAATGTTCAGTAACTCTAAAGTAGACAGAGTCAGCCGAAGAACACAGGAATGCCTATGCTTTGCTTCCTGAAAGATCTCAGAGAAAGAATAGCTCTGCTCACCTAAACAAGGAAGATAAGTTTTCGCATTTTTAAAACACTGGACCAGACTCTGGGCTTGTGCCAGCTAGAAGACTAGGATCTGTCCCTCTGTTCTATAATGCCACCTTTTAGGAACTCCTCCATCTTTCAAATCCAATTTCAAAGCTTGTGGTTTCCAAATACCAGAGGAGCAGACAGTAGAGGGAGCCTTGATAGTGGTTCATCCTGCAAAGTACATGCCTCAAAGCATGATGGATAAAAATGGGGAGGGGAAGAACCCTGGGAGCAGGGCACGCAGGGGACAGTAGGAAGTAAAAGAAGGTCCCATGTCAGTCTTGCACACTGGCACTAGCTATATGCCTAACAGGTACCACAACAGAAGCTACAGCTTTGAGAAAGGAATTCCACCAGATGGACAAGGAGTGGAGCCAAAAGCAAGCTACGCATCTCTGTCATCTGGCTCTGCTAGCTCTAGAGATAGCTCCTAATATGAAGATGAATTAACAGGGGGAAAAAAATAACCTGATGCCCATGAAAAACAATGTACCACAAGGTAAAGGAAAATTATCCTGAAGAGAAAACAACCTATCTCTAAAAATAATTTACTATGAAACTCACAAGGATTCCTCCACATGAAAACTCTATGAAACAGGGGCACAGAGTCATATATAACTGGCTGGGATGAAAAGCCAATGGAATAAAATGAAAAAGGAAATAGGGAACATGAGAAACAAAACATACAACAGCAAAATTAAAATAAACATTATAGGCCATAGGGAAGAGATGAAAGTGGCAAAAGTCTTTTTTTAATGGAGGCTCCACGCCCAACGTGGGCCTCAATTCACAACCCCAAGATCAAGAGTCACGTGCTCTACCGACTGAGCCAGGCCGGCACCCTGTCAAAGTCTTATCAGTAGAGTTCAAACTTGAAAAGGTCTCCCAGAACACAGAAGCAAAGAACCGTAAGATAGAAATAAGAAAAGATGGTGACAACTACAGGGTAAAGGAAAAGGACAGCCAGGCTAAGAATAAGTGTTTCTGGGGAGAACCCAGAACAACTGTAACAGAAGCAATTAAAACTAGAACTAAAGAAAAACAACAACAACAGCAACAACAACAATAAACTGAACCAACAAATAAGAATCTGTGGGCTCCCTGCATTGCAACGCGGTGGTGCCAGGAGGGGAGATCAATGAAAAAACGACAGTATTGTTTTTAATATGAGAAAAACCATGAATTTGAAGTTATGTGCATAGTTTATACTTCACAGTTACAAATACATTATATAAAACAAATACACACAGCACAAATAACCAGAAAAGGTGCAATCAAATAGGATTATTAAATAGAAAGGTGAGCCGTTCCCACTTGAGAAATGAGGGATTACACGCAGACCTCGGAGAGAGGAAGTGTGAAGTCAACATAGAGTGGATGTGGATATGGACTAAAAAGTCACCTGAAAGAGATGTTAGATCCCAGGCCAGATATACTGGACTATCACCTATATGAATATATTAATATATCTACAGAAAATACTGAATAGAATTGCAATGAACGAGGAAGAATAGGGACAAGAGAGCTACAGTAGCAAATGCTCTCTCCAGCATCATATGGGGAAGAGAAGCTTTAGCCAAAGGAATGTGAGTATTGTGACCTCAAGGATGAGGGTATCCCTCATGTGGAGATGGATATATGGATTGCAGCAACGCACTTGACATATTCTGATCCCAAAGGCAAAATCACTCCTATTGAAATTTGATGCTAATAAACATTTATCTTACATTTTACTTATTTAACCTCTCTTGTTCTGATTCCACGGTCATGAAACAACCTTCTGATTATGATTCTGTTCCCTGTCATTATGACCCAAGGGAGAGAATAGCTGATCATAGCAACTACACGCTTAGTCCATGAGATGGCAACTCCTCATTACAAATTAATAAATTGGATTACTGGGGGGAAATATGCTAATTTAAAGGACTTTAAAGTATTCGGGAGTTAGAAAAGCAATTTAAATCTACTGGTTAAGGTTATGGGCTTTGCAATTGGAGAACTATGAATTTAAATCCTGCTTCTGCCACCCACATGATCTCAGATGTAAAATGAAGATAATAACACTTGACTTGTAGTTTCATAAGTGTTAAATGAGACAATGAATGCAAAGGACTTAGCATAGTGTTTGATACATAGGAGTGCCCCATAAATATTTGTTGAAAAACAAAATGAATATACGTGATCAATAAGTGGTTCTTATTAATTTAAATTTGGAATTTAAATGAGCTCAGATCCAATGTTAAGGTGATGATCAAAAATTAGAATTCTGCTCTTGCCTAACCTGAAGACTAGACTCTTTCAGACTTTGATAAGCTGTATATTTTTCAAGTTTTTTATGATACAAAAGAAAAGTTGCCATTTTTATTAAATAAGTTCTTAAACTATCTCCAAGAATTTGGACAAAGAAAAGATAAAGCTAGAAAAGAGTAAGCCAGAAAAAAGGATGGCACTAAAATGCACTGTGGTATAAGGTTCTATAAATCTGCTATGAAGGTAGAGAGGAAATTTGTTCTTAAGTTTTCTAGCAGCCATCTAAAGAATCTGTGATCACTTAGGAGATTCACAGTGTCTATAAGATAAAAATAAGGTAAGGGTCCAGGAGAAGCACAGCTATTCTTGTTAATAAAGCATGAGAGAGATTCTTCTCATGGGTATTTGTTGTTGTTGTTGTTGTTTTAAGATTTATTTATTTGAGAGAGCGAGAATGAGAGAGAGAGTACATGAGAGGGGGGAGGGTTAGAGGGAGAAGCAGGCTCCTCGCTGAGCAGAGAGCCCGATGCGGGACTCGATCCAGGGACTCCAGGATCATGACCTGAGCCGAAGGCAGTCGCTCAACCAACTGAGCCACCCAGGCGCCCCAGCTCATGGGTATTTGTTAAAGAGTGTTTCTTCTGACATCTTTCAGTAAGCTAGTGGCATAATGTCGAACACAAAGACTGAACTCTGGACCAATTATAAAAACAAAATAAAGTAAAACCAAAACCTCCTTTGAAGTTAATTTCTCCCATAAAGTAGTCACACAGCACAAACTCTGAGAATGGTGTTAGGTGTACTTTGATGTGACACATTTTCCCTCAAGATAAAATAATACATCAACATGAAATACCTAAAGACAGTGCCAAGGAAAAGAAATAAAACCTTAAAAAGGGTTTGTTTTCTTTTTAGACTTTTTAAATTATCAAATGAAAAGAATATATTAATAACTTCTTACCGGTAGAAGGAAAAGACAACCATTCTTTTTTTTTTTTTTTTTAAGATTTTATTTATTTATTTGACACAGAGAGAGAGAGAGTGAGAGCAGGAACACAAGCAGGGGCAGAGGGAGAGGGAGAAGCAGGCTTCCCGCAGAGCAGGGAGCCCGATGTGGGACTCGATCCCAGGACCCTGGGATCATGACCTGAGCCAAAGGCAGACGCTTAACGGCTGAGCCACCCAGGCGCCCCTAAAAGACAACCATTCTTGCTTGAATTAACTAAGCCCACATATTACTTGTCTAGTTTAAATTACAAAACAGTTTAAAAGCATAAGGCAGAAATGTCCAATTTTATATTCTGAAAGAAATACATACTTAGCATCTTTATTTTCCTACATAAAGTATGTTCTACGTCTTACCATGTGATTCCATTTTCTTGGTAATTGTATCTGGGTATTCATCTAAGAAGAAATCTGGTAACAAAGGATGGCCTGGAAAATAGACCCCAAAAATACTCAGGTTACTATGACAACATCAATACATTAAAATTTTAACACCTGTTTAATGAACATTATATCTGTTTTTATTGTAATGATCATTCTTGTGCAATGGAAAAGACTCCCGTGAGAACTGTCAAACTACTTGACCTTCACAAAGCTAAAATACTTTTCCCATCACCAAGTTATCCTCCTCTCCTATGGCAAATTTCATCTCTAAGATCCAACCAAAGAGCCACCTGTTACGTTAAGCCCTCAACTGCTGTCCCAGGAGGCTTTGCCCCCTCTTCATCTATCTATGCAACCCTTCTGTCCTACATCCCTCCAAAGTGCTAAGGACTCATTTCTTACCTGGCCCCCTGAGAGAAGGGGGTTCCTCATTAAGAAGGACTTGTTTCCCATCTCTGTCTCTCCCTCTCAGAAGATTAAAAAAACTGGAGGTCAGGAATGCATTGGTCTTTGTTATATCCTAATGCTTATCAAAGTACCTATTCATCTTATGTTCTCTACACTTGATAGGATTTTTAATCTTAAATCAAATTTAAGATTTTGTGCACAATGACACTGTGTCTTTAAAACCTAAACTGATAATTACACTGTCTCAGGACCCAGAAGACCTGCATCTTGTTCAGGTTCTGCCATTTATTAGCTGACTGCTCTTACGCAAAGACTAATCTCTCTGAGCCTGTTTTTCTACTGTAAATATTAACTACTGAGTACTGCGATTGTCATATGCTGGGCACTGTGCCAAGCACATTATACACATTATTGCATTTCATTCTTACAAAAATCCTGTATGGAAGCTATTCCTTTAATCTTACCAGTAAGAAAAGAGACGCTCACAGAAAGTGGGTGACGTGCCAGAGGTCACACAGCTTGTGAGCAGCTGAGCTGGAATCTGAACCTGGTTTGTCTTCTCCCAAACTCCATGCTCTTAATCCCTAAACAACACTGCTTCCCTCACAGGATTGCTGTGAGGGTTAAATAGATAATGTATATAAAACTGCTTTGTAAAACCATAAAGAGCTATTTAATTCAGTTCAAACTGAAGAGACAGGGATGACACAAATATAAACATGGGGAAGCGCAACCTAATGAATAGTATTTAGAACACACTTTTGCAGCAATAAATAGAACTCCTGCTTATGCCTACATTGTCTACTATTTAATACAGATTATGTTTCATACATAAAGTAAAAATGCCTGATCATCACCATCATGACTGCAATTTCAGAGAGGAAGAATGATTTTTGAAGAAGGAGGCCATCTGAGAACTTCTCAGATCATACTCTTGTACAAAGGGCAGACTGTGTTCCCTCGTCTTCACCATCCATCAGTAAGCTAGCTACTCTAAGAGACTGCACTTAAGAGAAAAACATTTGGAAAGAGTCCATATTCCTAAAAAGTTTTCAGAGAAAACGCACTCCTGTACCACCTATTAGCACATCCTTGAATAAAGTCTTTATATGTGATTTTAAGATCAACTTTAAAAACCAATTTTCATTTTTAGTTTCAAGATTTGGAAATGGCTAATAGCTGATGTGCCTTCTCTATCTGTCCATCCCTTTAAAAGTCTTCAATTCACTTCCATTTTTCCTTTCTCTCTTTTTGAAGTTGTGCTGGTATGGTCTTCCCCTTCGTTGGGAGGATACTTTTAAAAGAACATATTCGGGGGCGCCTGGGTGGCTCAGTCGTTAAGTGTCTGCCTTTGGCTCAGGTCATGATCCCAGGGTCCTGGGATCGAGCCCCGCATCAGGCTCCCTGCTCACCAGAAGCCTGCTTCTCCCTCTCCCACTCCCCCTGCTTGTGTTCCTGCTTTTGCTATCTTTCTCTGTCAAATAAATAAATAAAATCTTAAAAAAAAAAAAAAAGAACATATTCGTTTTATGATCACACAAACTTGCACACAAAACAGATGTATGTTCATTGTAGGAAATGTAGAAAAATACATCACTACTTTTAAAAACTGGAAGCATTACCTGGCTTAATTGCATAGATGTCAAAATCTTTTATTCCTTCTTCTCTTAAGATATTTTCATCAATAATAAAGTTTCCAGTAAAACTTTTTGGCTTTTTAAAAATGGAATAGGCAGCATCTGCAATGATATCAACTTTTCTACACTGGCTTTCAATACCAGATCCTCCCAGCATATCCATAGCAGCGGTGTGGATGGCTGTGGAGAGAACACACACAGAGAACTCCAAATGAAAACAAGAGGACTGTGGAAGTAACAAACAAGACAGCTGATCGCTTTACTTCACAGGTGATGAAAACAAGCTCCAGAGAGCTTAAGGGATTTGCCAAATGTTCTGACATGACTGGGTAGAACACACATTCCTTACTGTACACAACACTGCTTTGTGAGACTCACTGCAAAGTTCAATTAGACCTCTGATTCAGAATGCTCAAGAATTTGCATATGAGTACTGAAAGTTAAGAGAGCCAAGAAGGTGTAACAGAAAAAGCACTGAGCAGTAAGGCAGGTGAGCGGGACTTTTATGCCAACTATGTGCTTTTTGGTAAGTCACTTTAACCTCTATGGGCCTCAGTTCCCTGTCTCTAAATATGGAGCTCATTCCCTAAATTTATTGTCTCACCCCTCTATTAGAATATAGGGGCAGGGGCGCCTGGGTGGCTCAGTCGTTAAGCGTCTGCCTTCGGCTCAGGTCATGATCCCAGGGTCCTGGGATCGAGCCCTGCATCAGGCTCCCTGCTCCGCAGGAAGCCTGCTTCTCCCTCTCCCTCTGCCCCTGATTGTGTTCTCTCTCTCGCTGTGTCTCTCTATCACATAAATAAATAAAATCTTAAAAAAAAAAAAAGAATATAGGGGCGGAGGAAGAGGGAGAAGGAGACTCCCTGCTAAGCAGGGAGCCCCATGCAGGTCTCCATTCCAGGACCCTGGGATCATGACCTGAGCCGAAGGCAGACACTTCACTGACTGAGCCACCCAGGCACCCTTGTTTTAGGTGCATGTGATTTTTAAATTCTATGTTTTTTTTTTTATTCTTATGTTAATCCCCATACATTACATCATTAGTTTTAGATGAAGTGTTCCATGATTCATTGTTTGTGCACAACACCCAGTGCTCCATGCAGAATGTGCCCTCCTCAATACCCACCACCAGGCTAACCCATCCTCCCAGCCCCCTCCCCTCTAGAACCCTGTTTGTTTTTCAGAGTCCATCGTCTCTCATGGTTCGTCTACCCCTCTGATTTCCCCCGCTTCATTCTTCCCCTCTCGCTACCTTCTTCTTCTTCTTTTTTTTTTTTCTTAACATATATTGCATTATTTGTTTCAGAGGTACAGATCTGAGATTCAACAGTCTTGCACAATTCACAGCGCTTACCAGAGCACATACCCTCCCCAGTGTCTATCACCCAGTCACCCCATCCCTCCCACCCCACCCCCCACTCCAACAACCCTCAGTTTGATTCCTGCGATTAAGAATTCCTCATATCAGTGAGATCATATGATACATGCCTTTCTATGTTTTTTTTAATGAAGTAACTTGAAATTCTGCCATTCATAGTACACTATTAATTATACATTGTCAAAGTTGTGAACAGTAACTTATCTCAGTTTACTTATATTTTAGCTTATATTTTGAACAATGAAAATCAACTTGTTTAAGTACTTTAGGTTTCAGTCTCTAGTAATTTAAAGTTCTCTCCATACCACTGTTAAACCATCATTTTAAATCATTACATACTGGAATAGATTACATAATTTACGATGAAAAGTTTGTAGCTTTTAAGAGCCATTGACCCCTTTCCTTTCATTCAACACATAGTGATAGAGTCCTTACTATAAGTCAGGCATTATTGTAGGGATTGGGAACAAATGAGTTGATAAACAGACAAAAGCCCCTACCTTCATGGTGATTACATTCTAGCATACATCCCTACTTCAAAGACAACACAATTAACTTGGGGAATTTCCTAAAAGCACTAAGTTAGAAAATATGTCCCTACCTTATAACTACAGTTCCTTTACTAGGAAGAAATTTTTTTGCTTAACCAAGTTGAGGAGCTCTGGTTTTGCTCTTGATGTGATACCTTATTAATAAAAAATGGCAGATAATATTTATCAAGTGCGCCCTATGCTGGGCATGTTGCTACATACTTTAGATAAGTTATCTGAATGAATTCTATGAGGTAGGTACTGTTATCATTCTCATTTTACAGAAGAGAGCACTCATGCACGGAGGGGCTAAGTAACTTGTCCAAGATTACAGGAGCCAGAATTCAAACACTTAACAGCTTGACTTGACTTCAGAGCCAGGATCTTAACCACCATGAAACTAAAGGGCATTCTTAGAGTTCAGTTATCTCGCTCCCATAAACTGTAGAATTTTCCTTTTTCTTTTTGAGAGACAGAGAGCAAGCGCACATGCACACAGGCAGGGGGAGGGGGAAAGGGACAGGGAGAGAGAGAATCCCAAGCAGGCTCCATGCCCAGCGCAGAGCCTGACATGGGCCCTGATCTCAGGACCCTGAGGTCATGACCCAAGCCGAAACCAAGAGTTGGACACTTAACCGACTGAGCCACCCAGGCACTCGAACTGTAGAATTCTTCTAAAAATATTTCAATATAGGAGCACCTGGCTGGCTCAATCAGGAGGGCATGCAACTCTTGATCTCTGGGTCGTGAGTTTGAGCCCCACGTTTGGTGCAGAGATACTTAAAATAAATAAACTTTTGGGGTGCCTGGGTGGTTCAGTCAGTTAAGCAGTTGCCTTTGGCTTGGGTCGTGAGATCCCAGGGTCCTGGGATCAAGCCCTGCGTTGGGCTCTCTGCTCAGTGGGGAGCCTGCTTCCCCCTCTCCCTCTGCCCCTCCTCCAGCTTGTACTCTCTCTCACTCTCTCTCTCTCACTCTCTTAAATGAATGAAAAATCTAAAAAAATAAACTTTTAAAAAAAGATTTCAATATAGTGCACCTTAAAACTATATGCATATGTATATACTTAGTCTCATTATAGACTACATGAATGGTGTAAGAATTCTTAAAACTCTAAATTAAGAATATGTCATGGATGTATACATATGTTGTGTGTGTTCATATGTATAGACACATATACACAACCTAAGAACAATGAATGATTTCCCCAAACCTATCTTTACTTCAGTAATCTTTCTATGGAAGATACAAAGAAGGCACAGATGCTCAAAATCAAGAAATAAGCCAGAGTTATTTTCAACAAAGGTTTTGCAATGTCATAGGCTACCCTAATAGGTTATAAAACTGACAACAAAAGCAGGTTCACAATAGAATACATCAAATGAAAATTCACTGATGAATAAACAAAAATAAGCAAAAATTTTAAAGAAACCTGATATGCCTTGGATCACAAGAATCTGAAAGGTGACCCTTAAACTTAAGTATTATTAAGGAGTAATTGGAGAAGTATCTAATAGCTTCCAACTGATTCTCCTGATTGCAGACTTCACAAAACACAAAACAGTAAGAAGAGCCTTAAAATCAACCTAAGAGGGGCGCCTGGGTGGCTCAGTTGGTTAAGCATCTGCCTTCAGCTCAGGTCATGATCTCAGGGTCCTGGTGCCGGGCTCCCTGCTCAGTGGGGAGTCTGCTTCTCCCTCCTTCCTCTGCAACCCCCATGCTCTCTCTCTCTTCTCAAATAAATAAAATCTCTAAAAAAAAAATCCACCAAAGATGTCCTTTTCACACAAACATATAGAGTACATATCAGACTTAAGACATCAGCATTGTCTTTGACTCCTCCTCCTCTGGAAAGAAACCAAAGATATCATTGATTATAAAGTGAACCGCTGAGAAAAAAGAACACGTGCCAAATTAAACTATGGTACATCATCAGTAGTAAGAGCATCCTGATATCCAAGATCTAAAAATGTGAAAACATGGGCATCCCAGAATCAGTGAAATATAGATGAACTGTTACTTAAACAAGTTGGTAAGCAAGTCTGTTAAAAAAACAGGGAAACTAGTTTTGGTTTCTAGCACCAGGGAGACCAGCTATTACCTCATTTCCCTGACCTCCCTGGTCAGCTGAGTCCCCATGTCTATTTGTAGCATGGTCCAGGTGACAGAGGACTGCAGCTGCTCTGTGACACTTCTGCTATCGTCGTCTCGGCTGCCAGGCCCACCATCAGCAGCTGGGTTCACAGGCTCCGCAACCCAGCCTCCGTGCGTTCTATCCCCAAGTGGACTTCCCTCCTCTACCACGCTCCTTCTGAACGCTCAAGAGGTAAGAGGCAGCAGGCATTGGGAACAGCAGGCCACCCCCCTCCTCGCCCTCCATTTTGGCAGAAATTATGAAGCCAGTCTTGTAAAAAGAAAAACTTACACTTCTGAAGCTGACCTAGCTGGGGCTTGAGATCCTCATGTTATTAAACTACTAAGGCCTGTTCTCTGACCACTTCTCTGGGTGGGTTGAATTCAACGGGGTGAAAAGTTCTAAATCCAGACGGGAAAATGTAGCCAGTGTACAGAAGGAACACTGAACCAGAGAGGACAAAGAGTGGACCAGGCCACTGTTCTGATCGTGGTTAATACAGGTTACACTGTGTCCATTCCATTAAGTGCAATAAATCTCCTTTTCCTTGAAGGGAATAATGATGGGAGATTACTGGTTCCAGCAAGCATAAAGAGCTGCTCTATAGTCTAGGAAGAGAAAACCTGTTGTTGTTGTTTTTTTAAATAGAAGCCTCACAAACAGCCAGGAGCCTGGACACCCTCTCGAATCCATTTTCTTGCCTTAGTCATGAATAATGCAATATCCTAGCTAGCTTTCCTGCCTCCTCTCTCCACGATCTCACAAGCCATCCTACATTCAGATGCCAAATTAAACTTCTTAAACCTCATCAGCAACCCTATCACTCCACTGCTCCTATTTTTCCTCTGCTCTCCTGCTTCTGAAATTCTGAAGTGGCTCTGTACTGAATACAAGTTAAAATTCAAGCTCCTCAACTTGGGCAATCAAGACCTGGGGCTTAGTCATCCACCTCCCCACAACAACCTCACACCTACCCAACATTCCAGACAATTGCTCAAGTTGTACTCATTGTGTCATGTATTGCAAGGAACAGGACTGTAATTCAGTTTACTGTGCCATCAAGTCTAGGCCCCCAAATAATACCAATAGCTCCAAGATGTCTAGTAAAACTTCTAAAATGAGTATCTCAAAGCTAAAGCAA